GGATGGTAAATTAGAGAGATACAGACAGGGTCACTTACAGCATGCCCCGCACGCCGTCCCCTACTATCTCTGTCCCTCACTCACTGTAAGGCAGCAGCAGCACTCTCACTGTAAGGGCTAGCATGGGGATCCTGGGAAACTGCTTCTTGAGCACGGCATGAGGAGCACATAGTGGCAAAAGATCAGCACGGAAGAATCGGGGACGATCATAATTTGCGTAGACCGGGAAAGCGACGGTGACTCACTGTGAGGGCGAGCATGGGCGTCTTGGGAAACTGCTTTTTCAGCACAGACAGATGTGCATAGTCGGGACGAAAATCATGTCCCCACTGGCTGCAGCAGTGCGCCTCCTGAGAAGAATCAGTAGCATCAGGAGGTGGGAGTGGCAGGGGAAGATGGGTGGGGGAACTGGAAGTGAGGGGAGATGTGCATTGTCGGGACGAAAATCGTGTCCCCACTGGTTGCAGCAGTACGCCTCCTGAGACGGAAAAAACACCAGAGGGGGGTAATGGAAGGCAGGGGAAGATGGGTGGGGGAACTGGAAGTGAGGGGAGATGTGCATTGTCGGGGCGAAAATCATGCCCCCACTGGCTGCAGCAGTGCGCCTCCTGAAAGAGGGGCAAAAAGGGAAGGGACACTGCCCCTCTTTTTGCCATGAGAGGGACATGGCACCATGAGAAGGGTAGAGGGGGAAGAGGTGACTTTGAGTCGACTCAAAAGTCACTTAGAGGGGCAAAAAGGGAAGGGACATGGCACCATGAGAAGGATAGAGGGGGAAGGAAGGGGGGATGGGACAGGAGAGGTGCATGGGTGGAAATCCAGTGGGGAGAGCGCGTGTGTGGTCAGTTTTTGCGAGGTTACCACATATACTCGCACTCACTCACATGTATTGCAATAAGAGATAATCCCCCAGCACCGTGGCACTTGTCCAGCTTCTGCATGAACCGCTTGCTTTATGTGGTTACCATGTGGCAAGTGTGTGTGGTTACCATGTGGCAAGTGTGTGTGGTTACCATGTGGCAAGTGTGTGTGGTTACCATGTGGCAAGTGTGTGTGGTTACCATGTGGCAAGTGTGTGTGGTTACCATGTGGCAAGTGTGTGTGGTTACCATGTGGCAAGTGTGTGTGGTTACCATGTGGCAAGTGTGTGTGCGTGGAATGAGGTGAACACATCTGAACTCACATCGATGGCAAAAAGACTTGTCTGCCAGCAGCATGGCACTTGTCCAGCTAAGACATGAACCGCTTCCTACTTGCCAGAAGCCCAGACACACGAGCAGTTACCACGATGCGGTTACTATGCAGTTACCACGATGCGGTCATTATGCAGTTACCACGATGCGGTCATTATGCAGTTACCACGATGCGGTTATTATGCAGTTACCACGATGCGGTTATTATGCAGTTACCACGATGCGGTTATTATGCAGTTACCACGATGCGGTTATTATGCAGTTACCACGATGCGGTTATTGTGCAGTTACCACGATGCGGTTATTATGCAGTTACCACGATGCGGTTATTGTGCAGTTACCACGATGCGGTTATTATGCAGTTACCACGATGCGGTTATTGTGCAGTTACCACGATGCGGTTATTATGCAGTTACCACGATGCGGTTATTGTGCAGTTACCACGATGCGGTTATTATGCAGTTACCACGATGCGGTTATGGTGCAGTTACCACTCACATCAATGGCAATAAGAGTTAGCCTGCCAGCAGCATGTCACTTGTCCTGATTCGACATGAACAGCTTGCTCCTCGCCAACAGCACAAACAAATGAGCAGTTACCAAATAAGCAGTTACCAAATGAGCAGTTACCATGTAGTTACTACTCACATCTATAGCGATTAGGCTCAGCCTCCCAGCAGCATGGCACTTTTCCAGTTTGGACATGAACCGCTTGCTCCTCGCCACCTTCTCAGGAGTCACGTATAGCAGCTTCTATCTGTGGTGTGGTTACCACGTGGTTACCACTTACGTCTATGGCAATGAGGGATAATCTGCCAGCAATGAGGGATAATCTGCCAGCAGCGTGGCACTTCTCCAGTTTTGACATAAACCGCTTGCTCCTCGCCCCCAATCAAATAGCAGTTACCATCTGGAGACCATGCGGTTACCACTCACATCTATAGCAATGAGGGAAAGCCTTCCTGCTGCGTGGCACTTCTCCAGTTTTGACATAAACCGCTTGCTCCTTGCCACCTTCTCAGGAGTCACGTATAGCAGCTTCAGCCCTGCTGCTGCTGCTGATGCTGCTGCTGATGCTGCTCCTCCTCCTTCTCTCCCATCCTCTTCCCCCCACTCTTCCTCCTCTTCACTCTCCTCCTCCTCCTCGTCTCTCTTCCGCTTCCCTTTCCCTCGTCCTCCTCCTCCCGCTCCCCCCCTCCCTCTCCCTCTACCCGGTTTTCCTGCCACACTATTCCCCCTCCCTCTCCCCCCTCCCCCCTTAGCACTCCCCCGTCCCCTTCCCCTCCCCCCTCCACCACTTCCCCCCACCCCTTCCTCCCCATGTTCCAAAGTAGCATAAATCGCCTTTTCCTCCTCCTTAGACGTTGTAGATGTGAGCATGGCTGCTGGCACGCCAAAGCCCGATAGACACATGACCTGTGCACATGTGCGGGGAGAGGCAGGGGAGAGGGAAGGCATTAGAGGGAAGGCATTAGAGGGAAGGCATTAGAGGGAAGGCATTAGAGGGAAGGCATTAGAGGGAAGGCATTAGAGGGAAGGCATTAGAGGGAAGGCATTAGAGGGAAGGCATTAGAGGGAAGGCATTAGAGGGAAGGCATTAGAGGGAAGGCATTAGAGGGAAGGCATTAGAGGGAAGGCATTAGAGGGAAGGCATTAGAGAGAAGGCATTAGAGGGAAGGCATTAGAGGGAAGGCATTAGAGGGAAGGCATTAGAGGGAAGGCATTAGAGGGAAGGCATTAGAGGGAAGGCATTAGAGGGAAGCAGAGAATTAAGTTAGAGAGGCATAAATCGCCCTTTCCTCCTCCTTAGTCGTTGTAGATGTGAGCATAGCTGCTGGAACGCCAAACCCAGACAGACACATGACCTGTGTACGTGTGTCGGGAGAGAGGGGCAGGAGAGAGGGGCAGGAGAGAGGGACAGGAGAGAGGGGCAGGAGAGAGGAGCAGGAGAGAGGAGCAGGAGAGAGGCGGGCAGTCGGTTGAAGAAGGATAGATCGCCCTTTCCTCATCTTTGAACGTTGTAGAAGTGAGCATGGCTGCTGGCACGCCAAAGCCTGAGAGACACATGACCTGTGTGCGTGTTCGGGGGAGGGGCAGGAGAGAGCGGAGCAGCCAAGGGGTTGGACACTGGTCTAGCAGAGGGAGTGACACTGCACAAGTTTACACTTGGTGACATTTCAGCACTACATGTCTGAACTTACACGACCAGGTGAGTAAAGTACATGTTGTCACGTCAAACCACATGACTACTTTACTCACTTGGTCGTGTATGAGTGACAGAAGCGGGCTGACGACAAGGGAGATCCCCTGGGGAGAGAAGAGCAAGCAGCTGGTAGCAGAGGGAATCACACTGCACTGCACACAATCATGCAACATACGATCACACTACCTACCTACAATTTATCACTCACTTGGTCGTGTATGAGTGACAGAAGCGGGCTGACGACAAGGGAGATCCCCTGGGGAGAGAAGCGCAAGCAGCTGGTAGCAGAGGGAATCACACTGCACTGCACACAATCATGCAACATACGATCACACTACCTACCTACAATTTATCACTCACTTGGTCGTGTATGAGTGACAGAAGCGGGCTGACGACAAGGGAGATCCCCTGGGGAGAGAAGCGCAAGCAGCTGGTAGCAGAGGGAATCACACTGCACTGCACACAATCATGCAACATACGATCACACTACCTACCTACAATTTATCACTCACCTGGTCGTGTATGAGTGACAGAAGCGGGCTGACGACAAGGGAGATTCCCGGGGAGAGAAGAGCAAGCAGCTGGTAGCAGAGGGAATCACACTGCACTACACGCAATCATGCAACATACGATCACACTACCTACCTACAATTTATCACTCACCTGGTCGTGTATGAGTGACAGAAGCGGGCTGACGACAAGGGAGATTCCCGGGGAGAGCAGCGCAGGCAGCTGGTAGCAAAGGCTCTTGCCCCCCCCTGCTGGCATAATCACGAACACATCCCTCCTGCACAACACTGCGTTGATGATCTGAAATGGAAAAGGGGCGTTTAAAAGGGAGAGAGGAGAAGGAGAGTGAACGGGGAGAGTGAAGAGAGAGAAGAGCAAGCAGCTGGTAGGAAAGGCTCTTGCCCCCCCCTGCTGGCATAATCACGAATACATCTCGTTTACACAGGACTGCGTTTATGATCTGACGAGGGAAGGGGGAGAGGTGAGATGCGAGAGGAAAGAGCAGTGTAATGGTCGGGACTCAGGTTGGCAAAGGAAGCGGTGATGGCAGTGGCAGCTGGTAGCAAAGGCTCTTGCTCCCCCCTGCTGGCATAATCACGAATACATCCCCCCCCTGCTGGCCCCCCTATTGTTGCACAACACTGCGTTGATGATCTGACGGGCAGTGAGGGAGGAGAATGATCAGGTCAGTGTGGTGGTGAAGGCAATAGGGCAGTGGTGCATGCAGCTGGTAGCTGGCAGCTGGCCTGATCATGAACACGTCCCTCTCCTCTTGCACAGCAACCCATTAATGATCTGACGAGGCGAGATGTGAGGTGAGGAGAGAGGAGAGTGGGGAGAGAAGAGGGGAGAGGGGAGAGGAGAGAGGAGAGTGGGGAGAGGAGAATGATAAGGTCAGTGCAGGGAAGCATTGCTGCAGAGCATAAGCGCTGGCAGCTGGTAGCAGAGGCTCTCGCCGCCGTCTGCTGGCATGATTACAAACATGTCCCCTCTTGAAGAGAGTTGACTTTTGAGTCGACTCAAAAGTCAACTCGCCGCCGCCTGCTGGCATGATCACAAGCATGTCCCCTCTTGAACAGCGCTGCATTGATTATCTAAAAAAGGGAGGGAGGGCAGGGCAGATCCTGTACTTGCCTGCCCCCCAGCCTGGCCCCATACCCTCCCTGCTTCCGAGCCTGACCCCTTACCTCCCTCTGCTGCGATCTGAACCGTCCGATCCCGAACACATCTCGCCCAATCGCAGCCACCTGGGCGTCCCACTCAAAGGGAGCTTGCCACCTCGCCACCGATCCCAACCCTGCTGCACCTGCTCCTCCTCCTGCTCCCCCTGTTCCCCCTACTCCTCCTGATATTCCTACTCCTCTTGACCCCCCCGCACCCACAGCTACGCCTTGCTCAGATTTTGCACCACCACTATCGATCCTATCATTGGCATTTTTGCTCTCACTGACAACTCCATTATTAGCATTCGCGTTATTAGCAGCAGCCCACGCGGCTGCAGCCGCAGCCGACGCCTCTAGTCTGGAGTTAATCTCCTCGCGTCTCTTGATTAGCTGTTCCTGCTCCTCCAGCAGCGATTCGACTTCCTCCTGTATTTTCTGCAAACGCGCTTCGACGTCCTCCCGCTCATCCTCTAGCTCTAGCGCCAAACGCGGGTCCATCGGCCGGCCGCAGTCGCCGGCGGAATTCACGGCGGGATCAGCGGCGGGAGTACCGGCGGAATTTCCGGCGGCATTCCCGGCGAGATCACCGGCGCAATCACCGGCGCCGCCGCTTGGGGAAGAAATGCGCTCGCCGCGCTCGAGGCGCTCCCATTGGTCGTCGCTCAGGTCAATAAAATCGTCCATTGTAAGCGCTATGTCCGTCGCTCGAAACTATCACTATATCCTATATGACATGAATAACAAATTTCACTCGGAAACATAACGCGAAAGTCCCCAAATGCTATCAAATCCTCTGTTTCTGGCGGAGTTAACGGTCACATCTCGTCAGTCAGGCGGATACCGTCGTACGGTAATGAACTCTCGTCAAGACTGCACAACCTCGAGGGTAGTCTAGTGTACCTCGAGGTTGTGCAGTCCTGACCTCTCCTCAGGGCGGGTCAGGCGTAGTTCGTTTTCAGGTCAAGTATCACTGTTCAGTCTGGTGAAGAAAGGTTCAAAGTGGTGGAGCAAGAAAACCGCTTTCAAAATCACAGCAACGTTTTCCACCGCTTTCACTGAACTGAAAACGAACAGAGTCAGACGGATACCGTCATCCATTGCTCTCCGCATAACCTTGAGGGTTGTCTAGTACGATGTACACTGCATCAATGCACTAAGAGCGTGTTCCTACGGCCTTGTATCAGGCAACCTCGTATCAATTTCGCGTCAAACCGCGCTAAAACGCATCTAACCGCAGATGAACACACTGAAACGCATTTCACCATGCGAATCTGATACGAGGAATCTGATACGAGATGTAGGAACACGCTCTAGATTGCTTGCTAGTGCTCTGCTAGCTACCATTATGTGGCTGCTTCTCGCTCAGCTATCAACTACTGTATCACTACTGTGACAAGGTGCACAAGGTGCACAGAATCTTATCAGCAGGCTGGTAGTGTGGAGATTTTTGTATCAACACACGGTAGGTACAAACAGGCTGCGTGACTCAATCAATCAAAAGTTGAACAATACGGTAGCAGAAACTAGTGGGACTGCTGCTGGCACATCACCCGCAGCCAGCCAAGCGTCGACCAGGAATCAAAGAGAGTGTTGCTGTAGCTGCAAATTCAATCCAGTCAGTCACATTGGATGCAGCCACGTCCCAGAGACCAGGCAGCTGAGAAGTCAAATGACACGTTATAAGAGCAAGCAGTCACACCGACAGAGAGTGTCACATCACATGGGTTTAGGAAAGCGCTGATTTGACTGACAGGGACAGCAATCACAAGCAGCAGTCGCATCATATGCAGCCACGTGCCAGAGACCAGGCAGCTGAGAAGTCAAACTGAGTGTCGTTAGAGCAAGCAGTCACACCGACAGAGAGTGCCACATGGGTTTAGGAAAGCAAAGAATTGACCGGCATGAGCAGCAATCACAAGCAGCAGTCACATCATATGCAGCCACGTGCCAGAACATGCAGCTGAGTTGTCAAATGGCACGCAGTAATACCGTAGAAGGCAGTGAAAGCAGGCAGTCACGCAAACAGTGACACTAGGATTCGAGAATGCACAGATTTGACTAAGACTCACTGCAAACACGAGCAGAAGTCACATAGCAACATCACATGCAGTCACATCACATGCAGTCACATCACATGCAGTCACATCACATGCAGTCTCCACCTCCCAGACCAGGCAGCTGAGGAATCAAACAACATGCAGTGAACACAAGCAGTCACACTGGGAGTGCCTGCCACATGGGTTTAAGAAATCACAGCTTTGTCTGACATGAGAAGCAGTCAAAAGCAGCAATCACATCGCATGCAAACACGTGCCAGATAAGGCAGCGAAATCAATCAAATAACATGCACCGAACACAAGCAGTCATTCAGGGGGAAACGAGGGGAATGCAGAGCGCGCATGGGCGAGAACAGATGTGGGGTGAGTGGGGGAAAGGTGAGAGAAGGGCGGGGGGGATGAGGACAGCAGTCACACTGGGGGTGCCACATGTAAACACAAGCAGTTGCACAGACAAAGAGTGCCACATGTAAACACAAGCAGTTGCACAGACAAAGAGTGCAACATGGGTTTAGGAAGCGAAAAAGTCATTCAGGGGGAAGTGAAGAGAATGGGGAGCGCATGGGCGAGAACAGATGAGGGATGAGTGGGGGAAGGGTGAGGGGCGGGCTGGGGGGATGAGGACAGCAGTCACACTGGGAGTGCCACATGTGAACACAAGCAGTCTTTCAGGGGGAAGCGAAGGGAATGGGGAGAGGATGGGCAAGAACAGATGAGGGGTGAGTGGGGGAAAGGTGAGGGAAGGGTGAGGGAAGGGTGAGGGAAGGGTGAGGGAAGGGTGAGGGAAGGGTGAGGGAAGGGCGGGGGGAGATGAGGGATGGCTAGGTTGTGAAAGTGGGGAGGGGGGTGAGAGAGATGAGCGGTGGTAGGGGAGGGAGTTAAAGCGTGGATTTGGGGGAGGCATTAGCAGGGGGGAAGTTGAGGCATGGGAGGGGGAAGGGATGAGGGGGAAGGGGATGAGGGGTGAGTCGGAAAGCGGGGAACAGGGGTGGAGGGAGAGGGGTGGGGGGGAGAACGAGGCATTAGCAGGGGGGTAGTTGAGGCATGGGAGGGGGAAGGGATGAGGGGGAAGGGGATGAGGGGTGAGTCGGAAAGCGGGGAACAGGGGTGGAGGGAGAGGGGTGGGGGGGAGAACGAGGCATTAGCAGGGGGGAAGTTGAGGCATGGGAGGGGGAAGGGATGAGGGGTGAGGGGATGAGGGGGAAGGGATGAGGGGTGAGTCGGAAAGCGGGGAAAAAGGGAGGTGAGGGTGGGCGTGAAGGAAGAGAACAAAGGAGCGCGGCAGTGATGAGAAGTCTGGGCTGGGGGGGATGAAGGGAAAGAGGGGGGAATGAGCGGAGGATGGGGAGAGAGGGGGAACGAGGAGTGAGACGAGGGGAGGTGAGGGTGGGCGTGAAGGAAGAGAACAAGAGAGCGCGTAAGTGATATGTTGGGGGGGCTGGGCGGGTGTAGTGAGAGAGGAAGGAATGAGGGGAGAGCGGGGGAGAGGAGGGGAGAGCGGGGAGGAGGAGGGGAGAGCGGGGAAGATGAGGGGAGAGCGGGGAAGATGAGGGGAGAGCGGGGAAGATGAGGGGAGAGCGGGGAAGATGAGGGGAGGGCGGGGAGGATGAGCGGAAGCGGGGAAGATGAGAGGAGAGCGGGGAATAAGAGCGGAGAGCGGGGAAGATGAGGGCAGAGGGGGGAGTATGAGAGAGTTAGGAAGCTGAGAAATGTGTGATGTTTCTAGGCTGGGACATGGGTTGAAAAGGGAGAGAAGGAGAAGCGGGGAAGAAGCGGGGAAATGGGGAGGCGAAAGGGGAAAACAAGGGGAAAATGGCGGCTTCCCCCTTTACCTTTCGCGGATCCTCTCGCCCTCGAATAAAGCTTTCATGTCCATTTCCCCTTCCCTCCCTCACTCACCTCCCGCCCTCCATATTTCCGTCTTGCGTCCGGCTACCGTCGACGCGCTCTCTAGTCGACGATACGCGCGACGTTACTAATGCGTTTGAAGGCGACGCGACAAATTCGTCCGCGGAAACTAATACTATTCCGTCCGTGATCCGTAAGTAATAAAAAACGTCAAATCTGGAGGCGTGCGACGGCGACTAACTGCAATGTCTGGTATCCAGATCTGGTTCTGCTAGCACGCTACCAAACGCGTGAAGCGACGAACACTAAGAACGACCCTTAGAGTGCGTAACCTTGGCAACCATGTTAAGACTCGCTGCCATAACAAGAAGATGCCCTTACGCTCCACGTCGACTACCGCGCTGAGATCTGGTAAACAAGAAACAAGAATCAAGAAACAGCTAACTGGATGAGAGACGAAACACTGCCACTGAAAGAAAGTCGACCCTCGCACTACTACATTTGGGTAACAACAGGTGAGGGAGAGAGGATTTGGTGTGGCAGGTTCGGCAACTTGAGGTTCGGCAACTTGTGGTGGATGTGCCATGGTGGCAAAACACCATCCCTAACCGCTCATGTGAATCTCTTTTCATCCAACCATTGTTTTTCCAGCTGCCCGAGTCAGCTTCAGCGAGTCAGCTGAACTTCTCTGCGCCACTCACGATTCCCATAACTAACCAAACTCGTCCCGCACCTCGCGCAAAACCCACACGCGTTCGTTAAAAAAAACTCATGGCACAACTAAAATTAGCGCCACGTCAACCACCTCCTAGAAGTTCGAGCCTGCCCTTGCTAGTGAAAACAGGAATGCTCGACGATGCCCTACCCAACCATAAGAACGCGCTTTTGGCAAACGCGTTTGCATGCAGACGAAGTAAAACCATTCTGCAATTTCTAGCCCGAATGTGTAAAACGAATGTACTGTACAACCTGTGTTGGCCTGGCGGCGGAGACTTGAGCCACCACAAAATGTTCCCCACGCGCCGCCCGACGAATGTCCCCTGCCGCAATCTCGGCGCGGCATTTCATTGGTCTAAGACACAAGCTACCACACCTCTTCACCGTTTCGGTCAGTTGCACCACCACCATCCATCCATTCACATCACACTGCACTTTGTCGCACCGCGCGCCCAGACTGGTATTCCCTCCCACAGTTCAGAGCACAAGAGCGTCGCGCTCCGTCCCACCGCACTGCACCTAGGTAAATGCTGTTTTTTGTATCACTCCAACCTGCATTTACCTACCACATTTGGGTTGAAGAGGCGCTAAGACGTGCCGCGACCGCCGCCGTTCAGAATGGCTCCGCGCAGAATTCGTTCATCCATGATCAGTAGCACGCTTTTCCTTCTGCTTCAGCAGCTAACTTCCGCTTGCACCTCTCTCGAGCATCTCATCCGCTCCATATAATCTAGCGGTGTTGCGTTTGTATCGTTTTTTTCCTTCCTTCTCAAACTCACGGAAGGATTTCCAAAGAGCTCCAATTCAATGAGCTCCTGAAGCTACCTGAAGCACACGGGGAGGCCCGAAGCATGAGGCGGCGTTGAGTTAGAGGGTACGGGGTGGGTTGGGTAGGTGTCTTAGGTGTCGTGAGGAGTGAGCTGCCAAGTGTTTCGGGCTGAACCGTGTGCCAACGGATTTTCGCGGCAACAATTTACCGCGACAATATAATGATCTCCACCGCAAGATCTACGTTCCGCGAGATCATCTCTACAAGTGCAGAAAGAGCTTCAAGCGGAAAGAGCTTCATGCGGAAAGAGCTGCAAGCGGAAAGAGCTTCGAGCGGAAAGAGCTTCGAGCGGAAAGAGCTGCAAGCGGAAAGAGATTCAAGCGGAAAGAGCTTCAAGCGGAAAGAGCTTCAAGCGGAAAGAGCTTCAGGCTGGTGGTGCGACATCCCCGTCACCGCTGGTGGTGCGACATCCCCGTCACCGCTGGTGGTGCGACATCCCCGTCACCGCTGGTGGTGCGACATCACCGTCACCGCTGGTGGTGCGACATCCCCGTCACCGCTGGTGGTGCGCCATCCCGTCCGGAAGCCCAAGCTCCTTCTGAGTGATGCTTCTGGTGCGGCATCCCCGTCAATCCTGCCATTCAAGTCTTCACCACCTGGATGGAGACGGTCGAGTGAAGGTAAGAGCAGCTTTTCTCAACATCCCGAATCTTGCAACATCGTTCAACTTTTTTTCAAACTTATTCTATATCTTCTTATTTTCCTGCAGATCATCTTGACGCTGTTAATTACGGAGGATCTGAAGCTTAAGTCAAGCTCGCGGTAGGCGCTTCAATCACGGGACGGCGCTTCGAAACCCAAGCCAAGCTGGAAGCCCAAGTGTCCTCCTCGATGGCGCCTCCTCCGGAGCCATTACTTGAGTCTTCACCACCTGGTAAGTTTTTTTTTTTTTTTTTTTTTTTTTTTTTTTTTTCGTACGATCGTTTGATTTGTTCGTTTTCCATCAATCGTTTTTCAAAGTATATTCTGAAATATAATCTAACTGGTCACTTGTTGTTTTCCTGCAGACGATGGATCCGAAGCTTGCAGTTCGCGGGAGGCTCTTGGAAACCCGCGTCTTTTCAAGCGGGACAACCAGAAGCCGATTTTCGCCAATCCTGAAGATCGCCGATTGGCTCTCGGGGTCGCTTCTCGCTCCGGCTGCACTCGAGCATGAAAATGGCGGACATCGCTTGTCAAGATCCGGACGGCTCGCTTCGACCGTCGCCACGGTATCGTTGTGAATCATTGCGTTTCGAGCCCGCCTTTGAGTTGTTCTCCTTTTGAGTTGTTGAGTATCATTGTGAATCATTGCGTCACGTGTCCAAGCTTCGTTCTTCTGTTCAAAAGTACTCATCTTTTGTTGCTTTCTTCTTTCCAGACCCAAGTCAAGACGGACGCGGATAGGAGCTTCGAGCGTCGTTATCGTCCAATCTCCGGTCGGGTCGCATTCAAGCCCAAGTCAAGATCTCTGGACGGGTCATGAGAGGCGTTCCTCCGCCGTTTGCGCTTTGAGCTAAGCGTTGCGTCGCCAAATGTCGTCGTCAACTGGTTCGCCGACCGTCGCCAATAGATTGAAGTACGTAAAACACTAGCTCTATTACCTCCAAGTTGGACTTTGAACTTCTTGGCCTCGTCACTTCTCTACGTTTAGTTCCGAGTAACTAATATGTGCCTTTTTTATTTCAGACCTCGGCCCCGACTCAAGTTAAAGTTGCTCAAGACGGCCAAGACGGCCTCTCCCGTCGCTGCCGTCTTCACCAACGGCCTCCGTCACTGCCGTCTTCACCAACGGCCTCTTCCGTCACTGCGTCTTCACCAGACGGCCTCTCCCGTCGCTGCGTCTTCACCGTCAAGACGATCCGCTGAGACGATCCGCCGAGACAATCCGCCGAGACGATCCGCCGAGACGATCGCAGCGACGCTTCGCTCCGGTTGAGGTAACGTGACCATGAGCGCCTCGCACTTTCAGCTTTTATTGGCGGTAACGCTTCGTGTCGTGTCTTTACTTTCTCACTTTATTGATTCGTGTATTGACGGATTTGTGTTGCTTCTTACTGCAGAACCTGACCGTTCGCCGGCGACGCACCGCGACTCACGGATGGTGGACGCATGGCGAAGCGCGGCGACGCATGGCGACGCGCGGCGACCGCGTGGCGACTCATGGCGACGTATGGTCGAAGGGAGACGCTTCTTCGGCGGCTCGTCTAATCGTGCACGGCGCATCGGAGGCCCTTGGCGACGCTTCGACCGTCGCTTACGAGCTGCGACCGTGGCTTACCAGCTGCGCCTCGCTGCGGTTGAGGTAACGTGAGCTTCAGCGCCTCGCTTTTCAACTTGCATTGGCGGTTACGCTGGTTACGCTTCGGTTTCGTGTCTTTACTTCCTCCACTGATTCTCGTGTTCCTTCTTACTGCAGAACCTGACCGTCTGCCAGCGACGCACCTTGACGCCCGGGCGCGAATCACGGATGGTGTGCATGGGGACGCATGGCGACGCGTAGCGGCGTAAGGCGACGCGTAGCGGCGTATGGCGACTCATGGCGACTCATGGCGACGTATGGTCTTCGGGCTCGTCTAACGGCGCACGGGGCATTGGCGGCCCTTGGCGACGCTTCGACCGTCGCTTACCAGCTGCGACCGTCGCTTACCAGCTGCGCCAGGCTTCGGTTGAGGTAGTAGCTCGTTCGACCGTCGCTTATCAGCTGTTTCCCGCCTTGGTGACTGCGATTCTTGTTGAAGGTTTCCGTTCATTGGCGGTTGCTAATGCTGTTGTTTTCTTCCTGCAGGGGCGCACGGACGCGTTTCTCGCCGGCGAACGGCGCGTTTCAAAGGCGGACAGCGCGTTTCGCGGGCGGACAGCGCGTTTCGCAGGCGGACAGCGCGTTTCGCGGGCGGACGGCGTGTTTCGCGGGCGGACAGCGCGTTTCGCGGGCGGACGGCGCGTTTCGCGTGCTGACGGCGCGTTTCGCGGGTGAACGGCGCGTTTCACGGGCGGATGGCGCGTCTCGCTGGCGCTTGGTCGTATTTTCCCGTTTGTTTTTCGTTTGCTTCGTTTTCCTCGCCATTCTTCTCGTTTTTTTCTCGTTGGTTTTCCTCGCCGTGGTATCTTGATGGGTTGAATCGCCATGTGAGCAGACAGCTTCACACGAGGAGGGGCCTGCGGGGTTGTGCGAGCGGGGTTGGGGCAGGGGTGCGGCGGAGAGGGAGGGTAGCCCCAGCCCGACTTCTCCGCCCCCCCTCCCGCTCCACTGCCCCTTCTGCACTGCACCGACTTCCGGCACTGCACTGCACTGCACGGCACGGCAACGTCACTCACATGGTAAATAGTCGCTTCCAGTTTCATGCTTTTGTTTTCTTCACGGTTCTAACTCCCTCTTGTGTGCTCTAGTCTTAGTGCAGCCATCAGCATCGAGAGTGGGAGCGCCAACGACGGACAGGACCCATGGTAAGTCACGTTTCCAGTTTTCTTTCCTTTTTTTAAAAACTTTTGTTTTTCCTTTTTTTTCCTCTCTCTCTTAGCGCAGAGGGAGCAGCGGGGCTGGGAGTTGACGGTGCTGGCTGCAACGACTCCTTCGCGCTGGTACGCTGTCAGTTCCTGTTCCTTGTGTTATTGTATTCCATGTTCTAACTATCTTGTTTTGTGCTCTGCTTTAGTGCAGCTCGCGGCGCGGGAGCGGGAGCGGAGCTCACGACGGTGGCGGCGACGGGAACGGGAGCTCAACTTCTAGCAACGACTCAACGTGGTACGCTGTCAATTCCGGTTTCCTTGTGTTTTTTCTCCTGGATTCTCACTTCTTGCTTCGTGCTCTGTTTCAGTGCAGCTCGCGACATCAGGGTGGGGGCTGACGGCGCTGGCGGCAACGGGAGGCTGCAACGGCTCATCCACATGGCACGCTGTCAATTCCGGTTTTCTAGCGGGAGCTGACGGCGCTGGCTGCAACGACTCTCATCCACGTGGTACGCTGTCAATTCCAGTTTTGTTGTGTTTTTTTTTTCCGGATTCTAACTTTCTGTTTTGTTTTCACTCTTAGCGCAGGAGTCTACGGCGCTGGCGGCGTCGATTGCTCCTCTCTCTTGGTAAGTGTCAGTTTCAGTTACTTTCTTCATTTTTACCGTATACTAACATTTTTCGTTGTGTGTTTTCCTCTGAGCGCAGGAGCTGCGGGAGAGGGCGGGAGCCAACGGCGCTGGCGGGACAACAACGCTGGCGGGGACAACGACGCTGGCGGGACAACAACGCTGGCGGAAACAACGGCGCTGGCGGGGACAACTACGCTGGCGGGGACAACTACGCTGGCGGGGACAACGGCGCTGGCGGCGAGGAGCTTGGAGGAGGAGGTTTCATCCTCACCCCCCCTCCCCTCCCTCCCCATCCCCCTCCCCAATTGCAGATTCGGTTTGGGTGGGTTTGGGTGGGTGTAGTTAGGCCGCGCGCGCGGGGGTGGGGTTGGGGTCAGGTAATTTGGTACAGGTGCGTTTTCCGTGCCTCTTCGGGCAACTCTTCTGACAACCTGGCATCTCTTCAACCGAGGAGCTGAGGTGTTTTCCGCCGCTACAGTAATAATTTTAACCCTCCCCTTCCTTTTTGAAAATTTCAACCGTCCCTCCCCCTCCCAAACAGGGTCCCGCACGAATGACCTCCACCTCAACGCGGTGTGCGGGTGTAACGCTAGAGGCATTTGCCTCTAGCGGCCAAGAGGGGTCAAGAACCAAGATCGAGGAAGACTCTCAAGACCCAAGCTGAAGACTCAAGCTCCAGAACCAAGCTGCTTTGGATGGCGCGACTGAAGCAGTTGAGCAGCTTTAGCAGATTTGCACGCTAGTTAGTTAGTATTCTATTACGACTTGTATGTTTGTAGTTAATAGACTCTATAAGTTGGCTTTACGAGCAGTTGGCTCTATTAGTAGACTCTATCAGTTGTATGTTTCTGTACTCATTATCTGGTTCTCCATGGAAAGAACGAGATAAGACTTCTGCTAGCAGGACTTCGCCGTGACTATGACTAGCTAAGATCGCGCGTTAACTTTAGTCGCCGTTAACTATGGTTTTCTTAAGAGAGACACGCCTTATATTGTTCAAGGAAGGATCCCTATCAATGCGTTCATTCGCATCGCGCTTCGCCTCCCTATGTTCGAATTATTCTTCCTCTTTAAGCCAGATCGCCACGAGAGGATCCATATCGTCGCGCGTAGTCCCATCGTCCTTCGACCTATCGCGCTTCGCCTCGTCGCCGTCCGCCGAAAGCTCGTCAGATCTATTCTCTCCTAGCCTGATTCCTACTCTAGCGTCTAATTTCCCCGACATCGCCGCTTCCGCTCACATTTCCTCGTCGCCGTCCGCAAGAGTCTCGTCAGATCTATCCTCTCGTAGCCTGATTCCTACCCTACCCTCTCTCGTCCCCGACATCGGCGCTTCTCCTCGCATTTACTCTTCTAACCACCTTTCCGCCTCTATATCCCTCAGCGTTTCCGGAGATCAAGACTCTCGAAGACAATGTGAAGTTTACACAGATGCTCACGATGGTGCGTGCGACTGTTGGTATAATTGGGGAAGCCTGTAGCGGGTACACTACATGCTCGCTGCGTTTCCTGAGATACAATCTGAATTTCACACAGTGCTCACATGGTGCGTGCTGCCGTTGTCAAAAAAAGGGGCACATTATAGCGGATATACGTCTACACCCCAATTCCCCCCCACCTGATTGACCTGATTGACTTCACTTTGCTCACTGGTTCACTTAGTCACCCCAATCCCCCCCACCCATCCATCCTCCCTCTACCATCCATCCGTCCCCTTGTGTGATGCATGCACCCACCCACCTGGTGCCACGTGGCATGTGCTTCAGCCTGTAAATGCCACGTGGCTCTGCTGGGAGTGCTGGCATGGGGAGTGAGGGAATGCTCCCCTTTAGGCTGGCACACATACACACACCCCTCTCCACCACTCTCCACCCCACTCAACCATCATCCATCCCCTTGCATCTCTCAGCTGGTGGACGACCACACGCCACTGCTGGAAGTGCTGGCACAGGGAGTGAGGGAGTGTTCCTCCCTTAGGCTGTCACATGCACACACACCCTTCTCCACCCCACCATCCATCTCCTTGTGTGTTGCCTCTATTGCATGGTGCAGGTACCTCAGCTGGTGGGCGACCATACAGCCCTGCTGGGAGTGCTGGCACGGGGAGTGAGGGAGTGCTCTCTGCGGCCGCTAGTGGGGAGGGAACTTGACCTAGACCCCTTCTTGGACAACATGGGAGTCGCTGTGTGTGACCATTTAAGTCGGTCACTGCTTCCCTGTGTGGTGTGTGCTCACACAAGGGGCAACAGGAAGTGCTCTCTCTGCGGCCGCTAGTGGGGAGGGAGCTTGACCGGATCCCTTCTTGGACAACATGTGAGTCGCTGTGTGAGTCGCTGTGTGATTGTGTGAGTGGCTATCTCGTGGCTGGTGGGCGGGCGGTGGGGGGATGTGAGGGAGTGCAGTGCTCTCTGTGCTCTCTCTGCAACCGTTAGTAAGAAGAGAGCTGTCAAAGGTAAACAAGAGAGACCTAGACCCCTTCTTGGACAACGTGTGAGTTAACTCTTTGTGTGAGTAACTGCTATAATATGTGCACTGCCAGTGCTGGCGGCTGGGTGGTGAAGGGGGTGGGGGGGTTGAGGGAGTGCTCCTTGCCACCACTAGTGGGGAGGGAGCTTGACCTGGACCCCTTCTTGGACAACATGTGAGTGGGCATGATTGTCTCTGTGACTGCTACCGTATGTGTGCTCTGGCGGTGCTGCCGGGAGTGCTCTCTCTGCGGCCGCTAGTGGGGAGGGAGCTTGACCTGGACCCCTTCTTGGACAACATGTGAGTGGGCATGGGAGCATGTGAGTCAGTGTGTGAGTCGTTACTGTGTGTGGGTCACAGGATCAACGGCCAAGATTCATCGGTGTCATCTGCTCCCAGGTGCGTTACATCTTCCCCCAGGTGCGTTACATCTTCCCCCAGGTGCGTTACATCTTCCCCCAGGTGCGTTTCACCTTCCCGCAGGTGTGCTTCATCATCTTGCGTTTCAACTTGTCCCCATACGAGCCTTTATAGGAGCTAGCTTTTGAGGCATAACCAAAGCTAGCAACAATCAAGTAGTGCCTTATTGTTCTCCTTCCCTCCCCCCTCCTCTGAACCCCCGCACCAGCTCTCCATGCAACCAATTGTTGATGCAGCAATCAGTCAAGCAGGCGTGTCAAAATAGACCCCCTCCCTCCTCTTTCTGCCGCCCCTCTGTCTTCCTCCCCTTACATCAGCTATCCATGCAAGCAGTAGTCACCGCAGCAGTCAAGCAGTGCATGGGCGTGTCTCGATGCTACCGTCGGCTTCTGCCCTGAGTTTGACGTGCATGGGGATGTGATATGCACTCCACCGTCGGCTTCTGCCCTGAGTTTGACGTGCATGGGGATGTGATATGCACTCCACCGTCGGCTTCTGCCCTGAGTTTGACGTGCATGGGGATGTGATATGCACTCCACCGTCGGCTTCTGCCCTGAGTTTGACGTGCATGGGGATGTGATATGCACTCCACCGTCGGCTTCTGCCCTGAGTTTGACGTGCATGGGGATGTGATATGCACTCCACCGTCGGCTTCCTCCCTCCCTCATCCCCCTTCCAGCTCTCCATGCAAGCGGTGGTGGAGGCAGCAGTCAAGCAGTGCACAGACGTGTCTCGCCGCACCTTTGGCTTCTGCCCTGAGTTCGAGGTGCATGGGGATGTGCACGGATGTGTCTCGCCGCACGTTCGGCTTCTGCCGTGAGTTCGAGGTGCATGGGCATGTGATGTGCACTCCACTCCACCTTCTGCTGTCCCTCCTTCCCCTCCTCCCATTCCGTCCCCATCAGCTCTCCATGCAAGGAGTGGTGGAAGCAGCGGTCAAGCAGTGCACGGACGTGTCTCGCCGCACCTTTGGCTTCTGCCCTGAGTTTGAAGTGCATGGGGATGTGATATGCACTCCACTCCACCTTCTGCTATCCCTCCTTCCCCTCCTCCCATCCCATCCCGTTCCCACCAGCTCCCAAAGCAAGCAGTCGTGTTGATTCTCCTATGCAGTGTACGAGAAGGGCACGATTTTTTAGTCGACTCAAAAATACGAGAAGGGCACGATAATCGCTTATGAGATTCTCGTATGAGAATCTCTTATGTAACCTTCCCCTCTTTGCTTTCCTCGCACCCTGTCCCTCCTCTCATTCTACTCTGCTTCGCATCACGGGCAGTGATGGAGCATCACGGGCAGTGATGGAGCATCACGGGCAGTGATGGAGCATCACCTGTAGAAGGCTCATGAGGAGGGAAAGACAATCCCTCAAAACACGCCTTTCGTGTTACATTCCTTTCACTCTCTATCTGCAAAACGTATCTCGACCGTTGGTGGAACATCATTTGAAGAAGGCACACGAGGAGGGCACGACAGCCTTTCAGGCCACCTTTTCCTCTTTCCCCGTTACCACTGCGACCTCGCTCTTTCCTCCTCGCCTTTCTACCTTGTATTTCAAAATGCGTCACGGGCAGTGGTGGAACATCATTTGAAGAAGGCACACGAGGAGGGGAAGACAGCCTCTCAGGCGACCTCCCCCCCTGTTACAATCACAGTCTTCAGGGGTCTCAACGAAATCACAATCAAGGTACGCCTCGCAGTCAAGACTTCAGCACCTGGGCGGCAGTGCAAAACGTGCTGATCCTTTCGGCTGGTTGGGCTTGTTTGTTGGCTTGTTTGTTGGCATGTTTCTTGGCTTGTTTATTGGCTTGTTTGTTTGTTTGTTTGTATTGGCTTAATCTTATGTGACCACAGGTGTTGGATCAGGGAGGGGGCATTGCAAACGAACTCAAGGAAAAGGTGAGAGGGAGCTGGAGGGGAGGGGAGGGGAGGGGAGGGGAGGGGAGGGGTGAGAGTAGAGGAGAGGGGAGGGGAGGGGGAAGTGGACTGTTGACATGAGACGTATCAAGAGTAGGGCAGGGCTGGAGATGAAGGGGGTGCTGGAGACGACGCACCCCTACTCTTGAGACGTCTCAAGCAGAAGGAGGGGGCACTGTAAACTGGGGTGCTGGCAGGTGTCAGATGAAGGAGGAGGCACTGTGAACGAGCTGAAGGAGAAGGTGAGAGAGAGTGGTGGGAGGGTAGGTAGGAAGGGGCATTCGGAAAAATGAAATGGGGAGAAAAAGGGGATAATCAATCGCATGAAGGGATGGCAGGCTTTTGGGGGGAGACTTTTGAGTCGACTCAAAAGTCACCTCTTGAGTCGACTCAAAAGTCACCTCTTGAGTCGACTCAAAACAGAAGCGATTACATCCGATTGTTTTGGAGAGAAACAGAAGCATTTACTGCACTGCACTGCATTCTTCTGTACCGCACTCTACCCCATTTTGCCGCAATCCACCACATGCTTCAGGTGTGGAGCTACGGCTTCTCGTCTCTGGATGAAAATGCAGATGCAGGCCCACCTGCAGGTGCGTGTGTGCTTGTGTGTTTGACCATACGTTACCACATTTTACCGCACCTTACCGCATGCTTCTCGTCTCTGGATGAAAATGCACATGCAGGCCCACCTGCAGGTGCGTTGTGTGTTTGTGCGTGCGCTTGTGTGTGTGCATCACCACATGTTACCGCAATTCACCATGAGTTACCGCATTCCAACAAACGTTACCACATGCTTCACGTGTGGAGTGGATGAAAATGCAGACGCATGACCACCTGCAGATGCGTTGTTTGCTTGTGTGTGCGTGCATGCATCACCACATCTTAATGCATTTCTCGGCATTTTACCGCATTTCACAGCACAGTAAAAAAAATTGTCGGCTCAAAGGTTTTTGAGTGGGCTTGACAATCCACCCAGCTTTGGCCGTAATAAGTCAACTCAAACAACCTTTGAGTTGACTCCACGGCTCAAAGCCCCCCTTTCCAGGCCCTCTGGACTTTCTTGGCAGCCCCATTGCTGGTCTTGGTTTGGCCTTTCCCCCTTACTCCCGTTGGTTTTTGAGAATTCTCAAATTCAACTCTCCCCATTCCCCCTTTTCCAACCCCTCTTGACTCCCATGGCAGTCCCATAGCCGGACTGTGGTTCAGCTTTCCCCTCTTCCGACTCACGTGTGACTTTGGTTGGCACTATCTGCACCACTCCCCAACCCCCTGCACTTCCCCCCACCTCTTTGCACCACCCACCCTCCCCATTCCCCTCTTCAGGCCCTCTCGACTTGCATGGCAGTCCCATCGCTTGCACCTCTGATTGGCACTACCTACTCGCCACCCCCTGCACCTCTCCCCAACCCCCTGCACCACTCCCCAACCCCCTTGCACCAGCCTCCCTCCCCTCCTCCGTCAGGCCCTCTGGACTCCCACGGCAGCCCCATGGCTGGACACGGATTCGCCCTTCCCCTCTCCCGTCTCCTTCACCTTGGCTTGGCACTATCTGTCTCCCCTGCACCACTCCTCACCCCTCTGCACCATTCTATCCCCTCTCCAGGCCCTCTCGACTCCCATGGCAGTCCCATGGCTGGACTCGGATTCAGTCTCCCCTGTCCCAACTCATGTGTGATTTTTGAGGCGCCTCAAAAAAATTTAGGCGATTTTTTTAGGTGCCTTCTGAGGCGCCTTTTGAGGCGATTTTTTAGGCGTTTTTATGAGGCGCCTCAAAAACAGTCCCATGGCTGGACTCGGTTCCGGCCTTCCCCTGTACCGATTCATGTGTGAATTCGGTTGGCACTATCTGCACCACTCCCCATCCCACTCCACCGCCCTCCCTCCCCCCTCTCCAAGCCCTCTGGACTCCCACGGCAGTCCCATGGCCAGACTCGGGTTCGGCCTTCCCCTCTCCCGCCTGCACGCACAGTACTTTGGGGGAGACATAGAGGTGAGACATGAAATGGGGGGCTATTTTGTTAAATAGCCTGATAGAAATGGGTGGCTTTGGTTTGGTCCACTCTCCTGTCTGTGCACATAGTAGCTCAGTGGAGCCATCGCAGTGAGGAGTGAATTGGAGGTTTACATAGACTCCAATTCACACCTCACTGCGCAGTCGGCAGGTTAAGTGCTCAGAACCTTGCCGACTTAGGTCTGGCCTTCCGTCCTTGCGCCTGCATTGTTTTGGCCCGCATTGTAATGATATATTCTTGAGTCAACTAAAAAATAGGCCCTCGGCGCAATAAAATAGGAACATTTGTATCATGATCCGTTGCCTTGCACCAACTGGTCATGAAAACTTACTGCCATAATATCCTTTCATGTCACCTGCTTGAATCTCAACTCAAATCTTACATCGTGCGGCTGTGCCCCCTCCCCCCCAACCCCGTCTCCCCCTGTCGTCCTCTATATGCAGTTCTTTAGGGCGCGTGTCCTTTGGTGTAGAAGTTCGGAAAAAAGTTGAACTTTTGCTGGTAACCCGTTTCGTTCATCTCGTCAAATCTTTCGCGAGGACATCGTATGTCCTAGTTCAGAATGTGTGAAGGAAGTTGGACACTGAACTAGAGTTGACCTGCGCTCGAATTTTTACATTTACATTTATCCAATCGTGTATCCTGCCGCGCACGTACGAAAATCCAGGAGGTTCACGACAGTAACGAGGCCGTTTGCACATGGTTACTGAAGCCGGATACGGTCACGAACTGCACTGCCCAACCGGGTAACCTACGAAAGTCTAGCGCGACTCGGTAATTATTGTTCAGAGTTGAACTTCGCTAATCGAACTCTTGTGTGCTGTGTGATACATGCGAAGCGAGGAACAGCGACTCGAGCAAAATGAATCTACATGGTCGAGCCTAGGTCGACCCAGATTCAAATGGTAGAAGTTCAACTAAAAAAACGAGTTTTGCAAAACACTGTATAAGGACACGCGCCCTTAGTATTCCTGGTTACGGCACGGATGCTTACATTCGAGTGCACCGATTGGGAAATCACCAAGAGGAATTTAATATCTAAGGGCGCATTCCGCTCTGGACATGTCCCAATCGAAAGTGTCTGAATCGATTCTACCGCACTGCATCGTATTACACCGAATTACACCCTAGTTTCAAACATTGTCGAATTTTTCGCGTCTCTGGTTTAGTTCGGTTCAGAGCAGAACACTAGATTGGGACACTTGACCTGGTTCCTGCCACTTACCATGTACGCACTATGCAGTTCTTTAATCATTCTTCATTAGTTCCCAGCACTTGCATCGACCGTTACATCAAGACACTGAGCAAGTTTCTTACATATTTGAACTTTGTTTGGGGATGCATTTCTGTGGGGTTTTGAGAACTTCCGATTTGTGTCAATTCAACAAGAGTTTTTGTGCATGCTGGGGTGTGTATCTGTGTAGCTTTTTGTCAATTCAACAAGAGTTTTCTGGGGTGTGCAGATTCCCTAGTGGCAAGCACAGCTAACCAAGGTGCATCTTGTGTGGTTCTGCATGGTGGGGGGTGCGTTTCTCCTAGGAAGCTTTCAAGTTGAGACAAACAGAATTGCACATCCGGTACTAAATAGCACAGCTTACAGGAGAAAAACAAGAAAAAACTCCTGCATATTTGGCCACCCTCTAACACAACTTCTGTCAGTTTCACCCTCTCCGAACAGATTCACACTCGGAATCCTCTGCAAACAGATTCACACTCATTCATGTAGCCCAAGCAGCTGCAGCTCTCTCCAGCTGTCTTGCAAAGCTAAAACCAGTTCATGTAGCTCCAGCAGCTGCGCTTGCTGTAAATGCTCCTCGTGTACCGGGTTACCACCATCACAATCCCGCCTGCCATGATCCAGTAACCAGAAATCCCCATCATTTGATATTCCGTCCCAAGAGATCCGTGTCAAGAACAGCTCTCGGTTGTGTTCCCGAGCGATCTACTTCACCAGCGGACTTCTCCTGGAGGAAGATCCGGCTCATTTGAAGGGAGAAACTTCCCGTTCTCACTTCCAACGTTCGCCTTTCACGCGGCCCGTGGAGCGAATCTCCTTGCTCCTCTGCCGATCAGCCTTCCGCAATTCCAGCTGCTTCTGAAACTTCTTGAGAACCCGTTCAGCGACGGCTTTGCTTCCCTCGATTCGCTGCGTCAAGCGCGCCGATTCCGCCTGCGCCTCGTCCCACTCCCACCAGTTACACTCGTCTTGCTTGGGAGGCTGCGGGGGTTCCGCTGGGTGATCTGTCAAGCAAAAAGGATGAGACGAGATAAATTTTGTAGGAATACTTAAACTTAGTTACTGTAGATGTCGTGCATCTAGCAACGAGATCTCTTTTCAGTGAAAAGTGAATCAAATCCGGGAATCTGGCTCTCATAAGACGTGTTAGTGGCATACCTCGTTTGTAAGCGGCCTTCAGCTTGGCGCGCTGTGCCTTCGTCATGCGGGAAGTGCACTGAGATTCCCAACCGTTAGATGAAATAATCTCTGGTAGCTCGAAATCGACGGTCGCCATCGCTTCCGGCAGTTGAAGCCTGCTTGAATACTTCTGAGCTCCTCCTAAATCAAGTTCGTGCTATGAGCTGACTGAGCGGGGAAGACTAAGTCGGCTCCTGGGGAATAAGGTTTTCAGAAAGCGGGATGATTCTAAAAGCAAATACCGTAGTGGCTGTGGTGCAGGTAGTGAAGTGTTTACTTTCTGTGGTTGTGGGTATGGTAGATTCTGTTGTGAAAGAAAGAACTCCACAACCAGAAGACCAAGAACGGGATGCAAATGTGATGGAATGGGAATGACTCACGCAACCTTTTATACCCACCCACCCAGCAACCCAGCAATGCGAATTTGATGAATTTCCTCCCATCACCTGAGCGAGCCCGAGTCGCACACCTCGGAATCGCACGCAACAGAATTGGGGTTTGCGTTTGACACGCAAGGAAATTCGGTCGGCACTGTAGCCGATTTCGTGTAGATGTCTGGAGGTCCACGTCACCAAGAACAGCAGCGTGGTTGGTGGTTCTTCCGGAGGTTTTGGCGCCCTATACGCAACCGTGACTTTTGAAGACTGGATAAACCCACACCTCTCTAAAGCCCTTACGTACCCGCTGTAAGGTCAAATGGCTGATGGTGCTGAACAGTTTTGCGAAGGAAAACTTACAATTTCACAAATGGAGCGTTACTTGGAAGCAGGATTTCTGAATGATGTTGCTTGTGATATTAATGTTTCTGTGCTCATATCCACGTCAGACTTCTGAATCTGGTCCAATTCCACACCGCCAGTCCATGAGATTGCCTGTCCCACAAGAAGTTTGGCTTACCTTTCACGCGGACACAAGGAATCTGCCCGCGATGTCGAGCCAATGTCATGGAATCCCACGTTCACATTTTTTTTTAATGCGGCAATGCGCCTGCGGTGGTTACCGCGCTACAACGAACCGCCATCACCCACCTCAATCTACGTCTACCAGCCGAAGAGGTTTTTCTGCCACCATCCGCCCCTGACGGAAACATAGCGCCCTGGTGCCTGCTGGTAGGGGCTGCAGCTACCACCTTATGGCATGAGCGCTGCTCACAGATATACGATAACACCTCACACCCGCCTGTGGCCACGCTACATCGAATTTTGGCTCTGTTTTTCTCGGCGTGCCAAGTCTACTTCCATCGCCGCAGCAAATACTCTGAGAAACGAAGACGAACCACATCCAACCGCGTCAAATCGGCCACCACTCACCACTTCCTGCATTTCTCTCCCAACGGCCAACCTCAACTGCACCCCAGACTTCGATCCACCTGGTTACTCAACAACGCGTATCAACCACCCTAGCTCCCACAGGCTCGACCTTCCAAACCAGCACTGGGGGTGCAGGACTTTCCTGCACGCGAATCTAGTTCGGCTAAACAAACGCTGTGTAGCGTAGGCCTAGTTGACCTGGCTTACCCCCTTGTTTAGCCCCTGTGCTGTATGGGTTACGACCTTAATAAAAACCTTAAAACCTTAAAACCTGTCCCACAAGAAGTTTGGCGCAATGGCCTGCCAAGGTTACCTGCCGAAATGAACCAAAGCGGGAATTTCGAACCCCGCGCGCGGCTGGTGAAGTTTGCTGACTTTCTGTTCTGCGACACGCAACGTAGCCAAGCTGCAGTTGGTCGCTTTTCGCCAGTGCGGTCCCCTGACAAATGTTCTGCCCGACAGACAAGGGCAATCGGGATGAAATGTGCGGCTTGGTTCTCGCGCTTCGGAGGTAAATGTGCATTGAAAATGCCTCGCAATTTCTCAAGCACGCAAATCTGGCTTGACTGTGACAGGTGCAGTGCAGTGCAGGCAGAGCAGAGTAACACTAGGCACCGAACTGGCGGAACCATAGACTGCTGCGTTATTGCCATCGTCGCCTCCAAGGCGCAACCGAGCTCATCTGAGAGGGTCCCGCTCGGCTGGATTCCAGTCGAATAAACTCACTAATGAATCGTCAACGCTAGTCTAGAGTTGTTAATATTGCAGACCGAACCGGACGAGTAGGCGGAAACCTTGCAGACACGCAGAGTCCTACGGAACGGCTGAAATCGCAGAACTCTTGGCAGAATTCAGAAACAATGGCACGGGCAAGGATGTGCGGGCTGCTGCTCACGCTCACCCTCTCCGCAGCTTTGCTAGCATCCTGCCCGCATTCTGCGGTGGCGCAAGAAACACCGTCACCTGCGTTCAAGTTTAGCAATTACATGCTCAAGGTGACTTTCCAAACTTTTCAATATCTAAATACATTTCTCAACTCCCTATCTGTCACGGAAAAATGCTCGTCATAAACTTCCTCGTTGACTCGCTATGCGTATAACAGGAGCCGCACTCCCCATTGTCCTGCCGTCGCTGTCGGCCGTTGATTTGCTTCAGATTCGTTTTTGCGTGACTCGACACGCTACTGTTCCCTCCCAGAATTTATCCTCTCTTGCACCTCATCTCCTTCTCTTGCGTCGCAGAACTGCCTT